AACACATAGCTTACAGTCATAGTCAAACAACCATTTTTGCAAAAGGAGTAGAAAGGGGTACAAACAGTATATTTGCACATGGAGTTAATGAAACATATTGCAGCAGTTATTTGACACTGGATGTGTCTGCATTGCCTGAGAGCTCCCATTTGGCCTGTGAAAAGTATTATTTGATTATTTCAGCAAAACATTTTTGATTAATCAAATGCAAACTGTTTGGTTCCACCAGTTGTTCTATGACATTTGAGCACAAATATTTTCACTTTTCTAAAACTATTGATGTTAAGAAAATGAATGTTTTATTTTTCAACTAACTGGGAAACCACTTTTTTTTAGGGAGCAAAACTATACGCCCTTTCAACACTTTGTAATTGAAAGTTGTGTTTAAAATTCTTACAAATTTTTCCTTACGTAAATTTATTAAAAACAGAGCTGTTCACAGTTAAATTCGATTAGTTTCCCTTGTGAAGATATCCAAAGGGCCTTTAAAGAAATGAATCTTTAACTGCAGTAGCAAAATATCAGTGATTTTTTAAAAGAAATCCAGCCTATCATTTGAGTAACTTATTTATTTTCCTTCTTGTACAGTTTCTAGATCATCCAGACTCATGATGTCTTCTCTTCAGCTTAATTGGTGGAAGTTTCTGATATGAGCAACATAGGCAACTGCCCAGGGCGGCATCTCATCAGGGGAAGAATCAGACCTCCTTATTCAAGTAACTTTTTTTATTTTAAGACTACTAAAGAACAACATCACATCTGTTTTCCTCGAATGCCCCTTTTTCTCACCTTTCCCATTTCAAAGAGTGTTAATCAAATTAGTGACCTGTATTGTCATTTTTAAAGGGAAGAGCAAGTGAACAAATTTCTAATCACTCAGATCAAGTCTGCAAAATAAAGCAAAAAAGTTAAATTTTCTAATAAAAAAATTCAGTCTAGATTATGCTACTAAAATAACATACAAATGTACTGGAAAGCTTTATACAAATCTGCACCAGGGCTGATAAGAAGAGTGGAGCCAGATTTCATTCAGATAAGCTGAACTTTTGCCTCACTAATAAACCCTCTTATTTAAAATAATATTCGATTTAGTCTTTTTAGTATTTTGTTTTTCAATGATATGTAGTGGTTAGGATACAACAGTGGTTCCCAAACTTTTTCT